ATCAAGCTTACAACATGATTCGAGTCACATTAGGTTCTGATTCGAGTCAAGTTAATTTTATGATTCAAGTAAAATCGTCCAGAGGAAAATTCCAATTTTCACAAGAGTCTTGATTCGAGTCACACGCTGCACATGATTCGAATCAAATTACTAGGCACCTTGATTTAAGTGTTCTAACTTGTGATTCAAGCCAAATATGATGAAACGAAAAACACCAACTTGCTAGGATAAAAGAGGAACACTATCATGGATAGAAACTCTAATTTTATTTCTTAATGAAGGGTCTTAATCGTACAATGCTAAATAGCCGAAGCGAAAATAGTATAACTCGAATTGCGAATGAATTACAAACGCACGAATATTTGAATAAAAAAATTACAAAAAAGCGAATAAACACAATCATATACACTAAAATTTACAAAAAAACATAAAAATAAAGAATACAATACCATTCGATAACGTGACTACACTTCAGTCTCCCCATTTTTTATGTTTGGCAAATTTGGAGATATTATTGTCGATTATTGTTGATCAATTGAATTGAGCAAATATTTGGAATTTGAATATAAAATCAATTCGGTGAATTTCCTTAGCGCATTATGGATGAGCGTACAACACATCACTTAAAATCTAAAGCTCCCACAACATTAAACACTTAATGCACATGAATATCGATAATATCTTGACAAATTCTCCCCCTTTAACAAATATCAAAAAGAGAAAAAAGAGAAAGAGAAAAGAAACACAAACAACTAAATCTATAATAACATAAAAAACCATAAATAGAAATGTCATACTAGCAAACTAAACATACACCACATAAATCACATACGATACATGTTACCGCAAACAACACAATTTAAACAAAATGATCAAAATAAAGATAACATATAAGAATCACATAGATACCACAAAATACATGACTGAAACTTGTCGCAAGGTACATAATCAAAACATAGTGTCAATACCACAAAGCAACATAAGTCAATCCAAAATGACAATAATTAATCAAAATGCAAATGTCATGATATGTTATGCATGAAAAGAAAATAAAATTAGGGCAAGTCGGCTGCAAGATTTGTAGAAGGGGAAACAACTGTAGTATCGGAAGCAAAATTAGTATGCTCTGGATCAACAATTGAAGGATCAAAAGCAAATAAAAATGGAAATATGAAGATGTTAAACAACGCCTTTCACAGTTTCCACATCAGCCATGACTCGAGCTTCACTTGATTTCATCCCAGATTTAATCTCTTCCTTTATCTTCTCTCGGCCATTTCCAGCTTCCTTGGCTACAAATTTAATGCGACCCATGATTCGATCTTCTCGAAACTAATTATGTGCCATGATTTTCCCAAACAAATCATCCAAATAAGCTCTAGCATTTGCAGATGGTATGCCAACATTAGATGAACTATCCTCATTAGTAGAACACTTATCTGGCTCCATAATTTGATCATAATACACCTTCCTTCCTGATTTCTCTAGATATTAATAGACACCATCCTTATCATGGTAATACCTCGTCATAGAAACTCCAAATTCCTCCATAATCTTTGGAGCTTCTAACAAATCTTTTTCCTTAAACGCAATGCCATTGAGCTCCAAAATCAGTTGAACAAAGGAAGTGAGAAACAAGGAACTGTTTGCATTCTCCTTGTGATGAACCATACTTTCAATGACGAACTTTACACAATCAAATGTGTAATCAGAAAGAAGCGCCTGCATTAGATAATAGTAAAAAACCATCATCCCTAGACCAATTCATTGGTTTCCTGTAGAAGACTTTAACAATATTCTAGTGTAGAATTTGCATATCGAACTTAACTTGGCTAATATGGAAAATTTTCATGCCAAGATGATCAAAAACATACTTTGAAATGGGTTGTACAAATGAATTTCTATCATAATCAAGTGATTTTGAAACACTGATACATATCCTATCAGATTTAAAATCAAAATATGTAGTAAAGTTATGATAACTAAATTTAACTACACGATCTTTAAAGCTATTTCCTAACCCTCTAGTAGTCAGCTCGAGTTTGCAATATAAGGAATTAACATGGTGAGGGTTAAACTTTTTGATCAAACTAATAAATTTTAGTAACTTAAGGTTGACAAAAGGTTTAAGGGATTTCGCCCTTAAATCTACTTCAGTGGTTTTGTCAACATAATACTCAAGTTCAATTGGTTTCTTAAAAAACTTATTACAGTCGATTTTAAGTTTTCCTTAAGGCAACAGGTGCTTTACGTTATGGCAAATAGAAAAAATAGATTGGATTTTAGTTGATTAATTACTTGCCTTTTTCAGAATTCTTGCGTCAGATGAGTCTTTATTTGCTTGAGTCTTGGTTCTGGCTTTATTTGGAATTGAAGGATGTGATTGACTTGATGATGAAACTTGACTCTTACCCTTTTTCCTTTCTGACAAACTTTTATGTGGAAGACTTGAAGACATGTTGATGTTGTTTGAAAAGAAGAAAAAAAGTGTTTTGATGATAATGATTATGAGTGATGAAGATGATATGATATGAATGTTTATGATGATTGAAGATGAATGGGTGTTATGAGAATTTTCAAAAAAAATGGGTTTTAAGAGATGAGTGGTTATGAAATGAAAAGAGAAAAATGAAATGAAAAGCTGAAGAAATTCAAAAATAACGTGATTTTTGAGTTTGTGATTCGAATCAAGTGGTAATTGTGATTCAAATCACATGTTTTTTATTTTAGTGAAAAATCACTTTGATTCGAATCAAGTGCAAATCTGGACTCGAGTCAAATTGAACAACCCCAAATCTCAACAACTTACAGACTTGTGATTCGAATCAAGTTATAAGGCTGACTCGAATGAAGAAGTTAATTTTTGAAAAAATTCAAACAAATTTTAAATGCCTCAAAAATTAATTTTAATAATGATGTTAATGATAAATATCTTTTATGCAAATGCCAACATAGTTTTTAATGCTAGAAATAAATGGCGATTCATAAATGGATAAATGCTAGAAATAAATGGTGATTCATAAATGGATAAATGATGCGCATATATATATATATATATATATATATATATATATATATATATATATATATATATATATATATATATATATATATATATATATATATATATATATATATATATATATATATATATATATATATATATATATATATATATATATATATATATATATATATATATATATATATATATATATATATATAATGAACCGAAAAAATAAAATAAAATTGATGCATGAAATGAATGAATATTTAAGGCATGAGATGCACATACATACACATACATATAATACATCTAAGCACTTAAATAATTATAACATGTATACAAAAAAAGAAATAAATGAGAGTTGGAGCGATCATACCAATTTAGACGATCTAGGCTTATTAACTCGATGCACAAGAAAATAGTTAGTAATCAACAACAAGAATATCACAAGCTAAAATATGATAAATCATACACTAATTGGATACAACTCCTCTTGCACGTATGGAAAATACTATCAGACTCTTCTTTGTAAGGATTCAAATGAACTTGAACAACAAATGTTCTAATTATCATTCATTGACACATCTTGTCAAACTCGAATAATTAATTAAACTCTTTGACAATTATTAGAACTTCAAGGAAGACATTTCTTCTCTTTAATCTTTTGGTCATCGTTGAAACTTCAGAGAACAATGTCAAATGTCACGAACTGCCTTCATCTTATTTTTACGATAAGATTGGAAGAATAGATCACTAGAAGATGATTTTTTCTTCTTTATTTTATCTCTAAAAAATTTCAAGCACTTTGTCATATTAATGCATGTCTATCTTTAAGTAGGATTAATCAATAACAAACTTTAAGACATAGTGTCAGATTTTCGGTTACAGTGCACGTATACCTCAAAATATTAATCATGATTTTTGAATATCATAATTCAACCCCTCTCTCTTGTATTTGAAGTCACTTATTCAACATAGTTGTCACTCTTGTCACACGTGGTTTATGAGATAAGGGAAGTCATTTTCCCTACGATTCAAGAAAAAATCGGTCTTTCCCATTTCCATGTTTCTGTTGTGAAAACTTGAAAACCTTTTCTTACTAGACCCATGACATATCTATAAATGCCCTAATCTCTAAGACCTAAAAAGGAACATACAAATTCTATAAAAAAAAATACAAAGTCTATCACAATTCCTATATAAATAGTCTCTTTTTCTAATCATTATATTTTTAATTGACTATAACTTAATGTGCTGACTAATTACAATTCATTATATATATATATATATATATATATATATATATATATATATATATATATATATATATATATATATATATATATATATATATATATATATATATATATATATATATATATATATATATATATATATATATATATATATATATATATATATATATATATATATATATATATATATATATATATATATATATATATATATATTTACACTATTATCAATGAAAAATATGCATCATAATAAATTCCAATTTTATTTTTAAATACTGAATGACATGACAAATATAAGAGTTTTAATCAGCTTATACGTGTAAAACTGTTTTATATTAATAACGCACTATCTTTAAACTCAAACATAATATAAATATGCTATCATTTGTCTTTTATCACATCCAATGGACCACGTGTATTTATTCAATTCTCTTATTAGTGGTTATCTTATCTTAGTCATTTAACTCACCCTAATTTTTAAATTCAATTTTCCTTTAAATAATGTCAAAAATATTATTAAAAAGATCCCAGAACTTTGCTTATTTAATACCAAACAAAAAAGTAAGCAAAACATTATCATATAAAAACATCATTTAAACTTTAACACGCCAAGGTGTTTGTGAATGGAATATGCTTCTTGTACTAGCTGTTTCTATATATATAATGACCAAAACTAGTCACAGTTACCCCACCAAACATTCAATCTCTTCTTCTTCTTGTCTATAGAAAACGCAATAATGGGGAACCTATCATCTTCTTCTAACCAAAAAAAGTCTCTTCCCATTGACACCACATTCAAGCTTCCATCTAACATACCAACTTGGCCACAAGGTAACTCAATTCTCCCCTCTTCCTCAAAATTAACGACGGAAAATAGGATATTCCGTCGCTAATTCTCTTGTTGCTTATTTAATATTGTTTTTAGTAGTAATATCTAAACATTCTATTTTTTTTTTTAAATGATAATTATATATATGTGTATTTAGGTGGTGGATTTGGTAGTGGAATCATTGATTTAGGAGGTCTAAAAGTGTCACAAATCTCAACATTCAACAAAATTTGGACAACCTTAGAAGGTGGACAAGAAGATTTAGGAGCAACTTTCTTTGAGCCAACACAAATACCTCAAGGGTTCTTCTCATTAGGACACTATAGTCAACCTAACAACAAACCTCTCTTTGGTTGGGTTTTAGTTGCAAAAGATGAGTCCAATGGAGCATTGAAAAATCCAATTGATTACACACTTGTTTGGAGTAGCAAGTCACAAAAAATCAAACAAGACAAAGATTGTTATATTTGGTTACCAATAGCACCTAATGGATATACCCCGTTAGGCCATATAGTTACAACCTCACCTGAAAAGCCTTCACTTGATAGAATCCAATGTGTTAAGTCAGATCTCACTGACCAATGTGAGATTAACTCATGGATTTGGGGAAAAGACAAGAAAATTGATGAAAAAGGTTTCAATGTTCATTGTGTTAGACCAAGCAATAGAGGCACACAAGCTCATAGTGTTCTTGTTGGAACATTTTTAGCACATGTTGGTGAAATTACAAATGGCCCTTTACCAATTTCTTGTTTGAAAAATTCAAACTTTATGAGTTTTTCATCAATGCCTAATTTACCCCAAGTTAAGGCACTAGCACAAGGCTATGCACCTCTCATGTACTTGCACCCAAATGAAAAGTTTCAACCTTGTTCAATTAAATGGTATTTCACAAATGGAGCATTGCTATATAAGAAAGAAGAAGAAGCAAATCCAATAGAAATAGACCCATTAGGCTCAAATCTCCCTCAAGGTGGAAACAATGATGGTTCTTATTGGATTGATCTTCCAAAAGATAAAGCCAATAGAGAAAGAGTCAAAAAAGGTGATTACAAAAATTTTCAAGCTTATATTCATGTAAAACCAATGTTTGGTGGAACATTTACTGATTTAGCCTTTTGGGTTTTCTACCCTTTTAATGGGCCAGGAACATTAAAAGTTGGGCTTATAGATAACATTTCACTAGGTAAAATTGGTGAACATATTGGTGATTGGGAACATGTTACTTTAAGGATAAGTAACTTTAATGGAGAGTTAAAAAGTGTGTATTTTTCACAACATAGTAATGGCCAATGGGTTGATGCTTCAGAAGTTGAGTTTCAAAGTGGGAATAAATCAGTGGCTTATTCTTCATTGAATGGTCATGCTATTTATTCAAAAGCTGGACTTGTTCTTCAAGGTGTTAGTGAGATTGGGATAAAGAATGAGACTAAGAAGAGTGATATGGTTGTTGATTTTGGAGATGGTTTTGAGATTGTTTCTGGGGAGTATTTGGGGGATGAAGTTGTTGAGCCTAGTTGGTTGAATTTTTTTAGGCAATGGGGTCCTAAAATTACTTATGATTTAGGTGAGGAGTTGAAAAAGTTGGATAAGGTGGTGCCTGGTTTGAAATTGCCTAATGAGTTGTTGGGTGAGGAAGGGCCCACTGGGCCAAAGCTCAAGAGAAGTTGGAGCGGAGACGAAGTTTGAAATGATTGATCAATTCATATATATTTGATTTTAGGGTACAGTTACGATCGTATGATTTTTAATTTCATACAGCGTTGATAAATGCGGTTGTAATTGTGATTGCAGACAGAAGTCTCTAAAATATTTATATTAGACTCTCATTGTTGTTGCATAAAAAAATTTGAAAACCATAGTGCTGTCATGAAGCATTATTGGGACCAATACTTAGGGTTGTTGTGTGTATTTAATATTATTTGTTATGAACATTATTGATGTTATTTTTGTGATTGATATTGAAACATGTGTTATAGTACTATAATGATATTGACAAAGTTGTATTTTGTTGTATTTGTATGCCAGCTTGTTCTTGTTTTTGTTAACGGTAACAACCATGTGATTGTTTGTTTTCTTTTCCAAAATATAGGACATAATTTTTAATGAGAGACTTAAAGATTAAGATGTATAAAATGTTAGATTCAATTCTCACCCACTATAACCTTCTATCAATGTTTCATTAAACCAATTCAGTTAATAATTGTGTATAAATATCTGACTAATAAGAATAGGATTCAAATCTTATTATTATTATTATTATTATTTAAAAAAATTTAAATTTTAATATTTGTGCGTCAAATTTGTGGAATAATTTCGGTGGAAAATGTGTCGGTAAAGTTTAGGAAAGAAAGGAAAGAACTAATAAAAGGACTTGTTTGTGGGTGTAAAGGGGAGAGAATATGAAGATATTTATATCAGTTTGGAAACATTGAAGGACAGTGGTGAAAGATGCAAGTCTTTTGATTTTGATTTGGGTCCATAACCTGAATTGTTTGACATTATTAATTTATTTTGGCACATGGTAAAATGAAAATACTCACCGACAAGGGAGAAGAATAAGTGAATATGGTCGGCTGAATTATTATTTTTCACCAAAGATCCACTACAAGTGTAAAAGCAATTGGATTTGCAATAAATCAAGGGTTCTCTTTTCATTTTTATGATGTCGCTCTCATTCTTAAAAATTCAAAAATGTCTTTAAATATTTAAATATGAATTTTCGGACGCATCTAAAATCATATATATTTTTTCTTTTTTGAGTTTTACTTTAGTTTTTGAAAGAAAAAAAAAAGTTCGGAGATGCATCTCCGTATCATATTTTGGTGTATCTAGAGATACATCTCTGAAATATCTCTGAACTCGCTTATGAGTTTGTTATTAATCCAAATGATTTAAATAACAACTCAATGATATTTTTGGAGATACATCTCTGAAAATGTCTAAGGAAAAAGTTGATAAAACACCACATTGTATGAGCTTCTTATTCATGCTAAAACAAGAAACCATAGCAAAATTCTTGAAAAAATTTATCTCATTCTCAATAAACATTTCAACACCAAAACATCATTCTTGTATTTCATCACTTTAAAGGAAGCAAAACAAGTTGGAATTGCAGGTAAATATCATTCATTTCATGCCTAATTCCTTTCATTAATCTTTGTTTTCAGCTAAAAAATGAACGTTAAGTCTGAAGATGCATTTTCAGACGAAGTTAGGTGAGTTCCAGATGCGCAACTCTGAACTGTCATGATAGTTTGAAATGTAACATTATTTTTATGCTATTGGTGGTAATAGATATGGTGCACTCGAATATGTTTCTCAAAGCTATTGTGAATGTGGGGGTTAAACCAGACGAAGTGAAACATGATGTTAAACCGAATGATGTAAATGATGATGTTAACCCAAATGATGTGGAGGATGATGTTAAACCGGGTGCTCGACCGACCATTGTAGAAGTAGATGTTAGTGCATAATTTACAAATAAAGAAGTGTTTTTTGTTTGTGAACATATGCTAATTGGTTTGTAGCGAGGCCAGAAAATTGTGCTTTGGCGTTATAATTGGAATGTCCTACAATGGTTCGAATAGAAGATAAGAATTTGTAACAGTGGTATGCGAAAGAAGTGGAATGTATCAACTAAAGATTAGGATGTTGAGACGAGATGACACTGGATCGAGGAAATGTGAGTGCCTGTTTGAATTGCGCAGATACCATATGACAGATGAGATATGGAAATTTAATGTGATTTTCGGTATACATAATCATGCCATGGATAACAATCTAGTCGAACATCCCATTGTATTTCGCCTTAAGTCGGAGGAGATGGAACTTGATTTGGACATGACATTAAACACGGTGGCTTCGAAAAACATACTCACGTCTTTAAAACGGAAAAGACCTCTAAATGTTTCACATATCAAGTAAATATACAATGTGCGTTCTCGAGACAGCAATGCGGTAAGAGGACCAAGATCTGAGATGCAATAACTCAATAAGCTTTTGGAAGATGACAACTATGTTTTGAGGTTTAGAGTTTGTGAGGATAAAGTCAGTGTGCGAGACATATTTTAAAGTCATCCCGATTTTGTCAAGTGGTTCAACACTTTTCCCATCGTGCTCATAATTGACTCGACATACAAAACAAGTATATACTTTCACTCCTGAAAATTATTGGTGTTACTTCTACGAAGATGACTTATATAGTGGGTTTTGCATTTTTGGAATTCGAAAAAGAGGACAACGTTACATGGGCTATGGAAACGTGTAAGACTATGTTGAAGGTCTGAGAAAATATGCCATAAGGCATAATCACCAATCGTGACACTGCACTGATGAATTCAGTTGCAACGATGTTTCCTACATCGTCCATATTACTTTATAAGTATCACATAACCAGAAATGTGAGAAGTCGACTAAAACCCACGGTTTGCATTACACGCATCAAAGGTGAGGACGGGAAAATGGCCAAACCTGGTGTCGTGGTGGAAACGATAATGTATGCATGGAATGGTATAATAAATTCTTCCACAAAAGAATTATATGTCGAATTCATAATACATTTCAAGAGGGTATGTGCTAGATATCGAGATTTCCTAAAAAATGTTAAGGGAACTATTTTGGACCAGGTCAAAGAGAAGATTGTTTGTGCATGGACCGATCAAGTTAGACACTTTGGAAATACAACAACTAACATAGTTGAATCTACATATGCTAAACTGAAGAATTAGTTAGGAAACAATAAAGGGGATTTTTGTTGAGATTGGGGCGCCGTGGACCAAGTTCTTCGAAAACAACATAATGAGATACAAACATCTTTTAGTCGGAGCATTAGTGTGTTAGAACACCATTTTAAAGATGGCATCCTTTATTCACAATTGGTTGGCAATGTATCTTCGGCGGCGTTGAATTTTATTTTTCACGAAGTCAAGCGAGCAAATAAAACAGGTTCAGATAACTCTAAGTGTGGATGTACACTTAGGAAGACTTACGATCTTTCATGTGCTTGTTTAATGTAAAAGAAGTTGATGCTTGAAAAATTAATACGTATGGACAAAGTTTGCACTCGTTGGACAAAGATCCATTTTGATGATTATGGTATGACGGAGGATGATAAATCAAACATATTTATCATGACCAAGTGGAATGTGATCCAAGAGAGATTCATGAAAGCTAATGATATCATGAAATTGCACATCAAAGAGAAACTTAGGAAGATTGCATATCTAGAAATAACAGATTTGAAACCATGTCAAAACCGGTTAAAACAAAAGGTGCCCTTAAAAAGGTAAAATTGACTCAAAGTGACAACTCCAGAAGACGGTCTCCTATATATTTTGAACATGTTGACTCACAATTTCTGGATTCTCTGACTCCAAAATCCCAAAAAAGTGTGTTCAAGGGTGCTCACATTAGCAAACCATCTCATCCACCTTCGTTACCAAAAATAAAACATATTGAAGAGATGTCGCTTTTTTATATACAAATACATCGAATGGACTGTATATGTTGAAGGTGAAGACAAAAGTGGTTTTTGAGTTGTTTCAGGTTTACTCGATAAAGGAGAGGATGACAACTAAATTGCCTGCCATCATCTTATACATGAGATGATGATGCATAGGGAATCATACACAAAGTTGTACAAGAAAAAAATCAAATTATGATATAATTATTAACCCTCTTGTTCCTTTTATAAGTTGTTCGACTCAGTTTGACAAATGGATGCGATTTCCGGAAATAGGACATCTTATAGCAAGTGCTTATGATATGATGTGCATTGATTTAACACGATATGGTTTCTTGAAAACATTCTTTCCACTTCAGAGTAAGCCCCCACATAATCCATTTGAACACTTCATGTGTATTAGTTATCTATAAAAAAACAAAATTTTGTTTAGTTTTATTTGAAAACGAGATGTCATATACCAAAGACATCACCGTAGTGGACGACACATTTCACATAAGATGCTAAAACATGGTCGAATCACTTTCTTGAAAGGATGGAAGAGTTCCCTAAGTTGAGCAACATTGAACGAAAGCAAATAAGGAAAGATCGAAGAATGAGCCACCAATAGATTTAGGTAATGACATATATTTTTATGTGTTTTAGTTGTACTCTAACAATGTAACACATTTTTTGTAATTAACGCACCGTATAATGTTATAAAACTATGTGGTATTTTTTGGACATTTTTTGTTTTTAAAATTTTGTTATGCATAATTGGCATGGTTCTATTCTGCATAACTTTTGGGTAGATCCAGAGATGTATCTCCAGACACACCTTCTAATTATTTAAAAAAACATGGGATTATGTGGAGATGCATCTCCAGATAGACCCTTATATTTTGACAGAAAAAAAAGGCAGGTCTGGATATGTATCTTTGAATTGTTTCATGCATACATGATCATGTTTAAAAGGTCCTTATTTCTATACAACTTCTATAAATATGGTCTCACATTCCATTTTATTTACACAAAATACAGTGAATACATATTTGTTTACAGGTTTTTTTAGAAAACAATCACGAGTTTAATTCACTTGTCATATTAACTCGAAAAATCTCATAAGCAATATGTGCAAAATAAATGTATAAGGAAAAGTGTGTGTGAATTGAATGTGGATGTTTGTGCAAAGACAAACCTGACACAAACTTTAATAGTAAAAAAGCTTGAATCAACATAAAAAATG